TTTGATTATTCTCCAATTGTTTAATCTCCAGTATGTCCAGGACACGCTGTCGAAGCCAACCGTAGGTACGATTCGGGTCGCTCATCTTCATACGCTGGTACTCGTACATGTCTTGTTTCATCCATACATGTCTTCGAATCTGTGTACGAAACAGCGATTCCAATATCTTTGGATCGGGTGCTTCTCGGCATTCCAAGAGTAAGGCGCCCCAATCGGTAATGAAACGTTGCAAATCGTCATCTCTCATCCTCAGTTCTTTAAGGCGCTCGAAATCGTGCAGGTCGTCGTCAACTTCTGTCACTTTGTAGGACTGTATGATGTGCCAGTAGATCTGGCGTCCGTTGAGCATGCGTCCTGCTTTGTGCTCTTTAGTCTCGATGAGCCTGATTTGGTAGCGTAAGTCCGAGGATAAGATGTCGCTCAGAGCGGTAGCGAGTTTGCAATCGATACTCTCAAAGTCTCCACTGTCTTGTAAATCCTCGAATGTACATTCGGGTTGTTCAGCCACGCATAGGAAGTCGTATGCTTTGGATGGTCGCCCTGAGGCGGCCCCGAAGTTCTTCCGCACTTTTTGCTGCCACTCCAGCAGCTGCGTGATCTTAGGCAAGACAGGGACTCGAACGGTGTCTGACTCCTTGATAGGAGTCGTTGTATGGACCGACACCGCAGACAATGGTTGTGAGGGTATCGGTGCACCGTCGGTGGTTGGTTCTGTGCGCACAGGAGACACATGACGTGTCTGTGCAGAAGCTGCCGCGGAGGCTGCTCCTGGTGATGTACGTCGTTGTTGTCCTGCAGAAGCTTGTGGTGCGTCGGCGGACGCTGCCGTCGGCCTGTGCAGGTCGGCTGCAGGTCGAAGGTGGAGGTTGGTGTCGTTAGTGTGGTCGAGCAGCTGATTCGTCCAGCTCGTCATGTCTTCGTGTATTTGACCCACCTTTTGGCGTGTATACTCATCAGTATCCCGAGAACGTTGTGAATACCGATCAAGTCGATGCTCGTATGCTCGGAGACGGGCGCTTCGTGCCTCCATCTCGCTTTCCAGACGTGCGAGGTAACTCTCTACACGTACCTTCTCAGTACCTCTTTCATGAATAACCTGGGAGAGCTCCAACTGCGCGTGGTCCGCCGCCTTCTGAACCTCCTGCAACCTGTCAGTGAGGCGGGCGACATCGTAAACCGTGGGAGGAGAATCCAGCTGGCCAGTCTGGGCTCGTCCGACACGCAACTCTGCCAGGGCGTCCTGTACACCAGGGAAACGCTGCTCTATGTCAGAGATCCGGTTAGCGAGTGGCTGCACGACAGCGTTGGTCGCGTCAAGCCTTTGAGTGATGACTCTCTCAGTACGCTGCAACATGTCGATCCGGTTCGACGAGTTGGCGTGTGCTTCGGTGCGAAGCGTCGCCGTAGTGTGGTCGAGATAAGATCGAAGATCATTGATCTGAGACTGAACGTCGCCAAGGTCTGTGGCCTCGGCTGGAGGTGGTCGGTTGCGGAGCTGGTCGTGGATCTCATCATGTAAAATCCTGACTGCTGAAACGCCTGTGTCGCGTACGAGCACAAGCTGTTGCTCCATCTGCGCGAGGTAGTTCCGCAGGTTCTCGACCATCGCCGTTCGTTCACCTGAGTGCGACACCTCACGATCAACCTGGTACTGCAGTTCTCCTAGGATACGTCGATCTTCGGCGATCCTGGAATCAATGATCCCTAAGGCGCCGTCAAGATCGCGTCGTATGGCTGCAGTATCGGTGGCGGTCGTCTGAACGCTCTGTAGTAGTCCAGAGTATTGCCTGGACACGAAGGTTTCAACCTGGTCTCTGAGCTCAGCTATGTCACCTGCGGCGGACGTCTCCGCCAGCTGGTCGTCTGAGATGGAGAGGTGGGGAGCGTTAGCTTCCCTGTCCCCTGTCGCGGGGAGTGCATGGCCTCTGAGAGGCAGCGCGCGGGCTCGACCTACTTTCGCCGCATGGGCCTGGGGCTCCACGGCGGTTGCGCGCGGACGAGCTGCGACTCGGACCATGTGCGTGTGGTGTCTCATCCGATGATACCTTGGGGTACCGCGTCTGTGGCTGCGCCGACACTGGTCTACTGAGTTCCTCGAAGGTGGCTACGTGCTCCGCCGCAGGGACGGTCGCAGGGCTGGGGGTCCCAGCGCCTGAGGTCCATCGGCGGTTAGCGCGAAAGCGCCCTGGAGTATCGAGACCAGCAAGGCTTTCGCCTGACGCGGTTGGGATTGCTCCCGACGGGGAAGGGGAGGGAGGATCGAAGGTCGGCGTGCGAAACTCCTTCCTTCCTGTTCCTACTCCTTCTCCTGTCCCCCCGCGGGCGGCGCTGCGGTGAAGTTCAGCAGCTAGACGCGCCTCGGGTCCTTTGGAGCTGGGGGGGGTATCAGGAACACCAACACAGTCCGCATTAATGCTCTCCAACTCGTCACCGAGCCGTCGTGCCGTGGGAGAGCTCGGACGCGAAGCCCCGATGGAACCCTTGCGGCGCATGCGCCGAAGTGGCTCCATCAGGCTCGCATGCGAGGTCACCGCGGGCGAGTCGGTGAGGGTGAGCTTTAAAGGGCTGATAACCTGTGTATGGGGTTGAAGTACAAGGACACAGAACCCCTGATCCGTTGGTAGAGAGAAGGAGGGATAGATGGATATCTTTCCCTCCCGCACGATCAAGGTCTGATCGATCTATCTCAATACCTGAGCCCAAACTGCCAGGCGCAGGAGAGGTAAGGATAAGGAGTATATATGAGGGTATTACACGGGTTCCATTCACACCTTCCTCTGGAGCAGGGGCAGGGTCTACCAGCGCCTGATAGTCCACTTCGAAGTGGCGTGGTTTATGCGGATGGAAGGCCCAAATCTGACGCTGATTGGCTTGGCTGGGCGTCATGAAGTAGAGTCTTAGCGAAAGCCTAACTATGAGATCAGGTTTGTCGCATACGCATTATTTCCTCCCTCTTGTCTCCGTGTCAATGGGACGGAAACTTCCTGCATCTGCCGACGGGGTAGTGATCTTGAAGTCCATGGTCACAGATCCCCGGTTTTCCAGAGCTCCGCGCCGCGGCTGTACTGCAGGCGAAGCACATGGATGAGCCCAGTGTCGCGGAGGGCGTAGACCTTTGGCAAAAATTGTAGTCTTTGCCTTCTGGTCTGTCTGGACTCTCATACCCCATCTCTCTTCCTGGATGGGAGGAATACGCCAGCATTCAGTAGCGCGTAGAGCTTTCGGACATCGGTGGCGCGAGAGAACGTCTCCCACTTCCCCCGCCTGACTCGCTCATGGACGCTGTCAGGCAACAGGAACGGAGTCTCAAGCATGGAATGAGATTCACGTTCAAGAAATGATGCTTTGCTCCAACCGGAAAAAAAGCAGAACATGATACGTTCGCGATGGTCGTCGCACGCAGCCGCCGCGTGACCAAGTATACGATGGCCATCCTTAGGCAGTACTTCGCTGTGATGCGTGGGGAACGCGCTAGGCGCATTCTACTAAGCACCCACTCACGAGCTGCAACCCGACCCCTCAATACATCGTACCATTTATCGTTTTCGTAGAACTGCTCGGTTAGGTGGAACTCGTCGATTGTGTTCTCTGTTTCCCGGGGTATAAGCATCAATTCGCACATGACAGTCTGGTGAGATCGAACTGCAATCTCGCCGGAAGGCAGCGTCACAGGTCCGGGCCTCGACCCCGTGACCACAGCTTCCTGATGTTTTTCGCGCGCCTCGAAGAAGTGCGGGCATTTCACACGACCATTTCCGGCGTTACAGACAATGTGTTCTGCTTCGTCATTGACCGTCGAGTGGTGAAGTACGCTCTGGACGATCGCCTCCCAGAGGGGCTTGCCTGTGAGGGCAGATCCTGATGACGTTGCTTCGGTCACTGCTCTCTCCACTTCCTTCACGGTCTGTGCCGGCGCAGGGCGAGACTTGGCCGAAAACAGCAATGCTGCACCTCTCTCGACCGCCTCCAACACTTCTGTCACTCTGCTGTCGATAGGCAGGACCTCCATGGGAGTACCTGCCTCTAGTTACATCCCGTATATATTCACCGCGTCGTCGTAGGGCACGGCGGTGTATCGTCGGTCCGCCCACGCCTGCCTTTTGTCGTGATGTTCCGTCAACCACGACCGGAAGTCGTTCGAGTTGACGCTGGCGGACTCAGGCGGCAGGTATTGCGGCGCTCCGACGCTGCCGAACGGCAATAGCACCCCCACCTGACAGCGCACATGGTGGCCGCCAGTGGACATGGCACGGTTCAGCATCGGACCCTTTGCGCCGGGAGGCACGGGCACGGGCGTTGCAGCCTTTGGCGGTGGAGCAGTCGGCGGTGGAGGAGGCGCAGGCGGAGGCGGGGCCGCAGCTGACGAGGCGACGTAAGGAGGGCCCATCACGTCGAATGCGGGACAGCACAATTCGTAGCATACCTTAGCGGCGTTGATGATGTATTTGACGCACTCGGCAGCAAATGCGCAGCTTTCCCCACCCGGGAGGAAGTGCCAATCATCATTTTCGGGGTGTTCCCCTCGGTGGTAAAGTTCGGAGCCGCGCAACAACAGCATCCTAAGGTTCTGACCCGCCTCCTGGTAGAGATTGATCCTGTTCTGCCCCCACGCAAAGACGCGGGAGGCGAGGGTATCCCAGATGCGTCGATCGGAGCTTCCTCTCGGTTGCCTCCAACTCTGGCCATCGCCCAGAGCCAGCATCACGAACATGGCTCCTGTAGTATGGGCAACGTATGCCTGTTCGTCTACGACGTCATCTATCATGGATAGAGCGTCCTTTTCCAGTTCGTCGTAGTCTGAAGGCTTGTCCCCTCGTCGTGACCCCATTCACCCGCCGGCGAATACCGTCAAGGCGTTCGCATAGCTCGTTGCCATTCCATACTATGACCCGACAACGCGTCGAGCAGTGCCCAAGGGGCTCCGAGGCTCTGGTGGCGTCAAGGTTTCCACCATTATTAATGGTTATGAGTGATCCTGACGAACACGCGTTGATTTCCTCCTTGAGGGTGCTATTCAACGCGGGCTTTCCTTTGGAGCTGACAAATGCCACTGTCGAGTCTGAGGAGATGAGATGTTCCACGCCGTTAAACATCCTATCGCCCTCGCCCAAGTCAGCCCCAATCCTGCCGGCCCACTTCTTCAACGTTTTATACGGTATGCCATAGGCAGCGTATAGGCAGATCGCTTTCCCTGAGATGCGAGAAGGGATTCCTGCAGCCTTCATGAGGCTACTGAGTGCCGCGCACGCTTGCGGGAAGTCAAGCCTGGCAAACGCAGGGGCTGCTTCCGGTTTTATGATATTTGCTAGGATCTTACCCAGCGACTTCAGCGCGGTGATGTACTCAGGTCTCGGCCCGCCCGGCGGCATGACGTTCAGATCGAGACGTGGATCGGGCTTGCCTTCTTTCTTGAAGCGTTCGTGACAATAGTCAAGGGCATTCCAGTAGCCGTGTACGCCCACTTTGTCCGCGAGGGCGCAATGTTTCCCCTTCTTTGCCGTCTCGGATTCGTTGGCGCTGGCTGCTGCTCCTGGCCTGCTGCGAACCCTCGGCAGGGGCCCCTCGTCCGCGTGAGGGCGATCAGCCATGGGCTGTTGAGCCTGCCCAGTGGACCCGGCACCGCGGGCATGGCCCTTGGCATCTTCTCCTCCTGCACCCATCGGATCCTCTTTCGCGGGAGCAGGGGCATTGGGAGCAAGTTGATTGATTTCCGTCTTCTCGGGGGGAGGACCGTCTTCAGCGACATGGTCGGCTGCGGCCCTCGGATCGCCCTCCCGAGTCTGACCCAACTTCTCCTCTTCGTCCTGAGGAGGACAAGGCGCCATCTCCACGTCGGGCAGGTCTGGTGCCTGCTCCGCGGTTCGCTCTGGGTCTCCATTGGTGTCCTCAGGAGATGGTGTCGCAAGATCAGGCGGCATTGAGCTGTCCGAGCGAGGTGTCCCTGGGGGTTGTTGCTGCTGTTATTCGGCAGCCGCCTTCTCAGCCTCCTCCTGTTCCTTCATCCTGCGGAGGCGCTGCGCCCACCCTGACGTCTCCTCGGCTTCGTAGCCACAAGTCGTCTGTTGCTCCATGCCGCCCGATCCATAGATGGAGGCACGGGCTGGAATGTCCGCCTTCGGAAGCGCCTTGGCCGCCTCCTGCCGTTCGCGCATTCTGCGTAGGCGCTCCTCGAGGCCCGTCGTGCTCTCACTTGCGTAGTCTCCAAGTGCTTGTTGTTCCATGCCCCCTGCATGGGTGGCGGCATGGTCTGGATGATGTACCCTAGGCGCCGCCTTCGGCCTCGGCAACGGCGCTGGTGGGGGCTTGCCTGGCCCCCCAGCCGATGAGGGGGTGCCCGGAGGCGGCGTCGGCGGCTCACGGTTGTCCGTCGGCTGCGGCACCCGCGGAGGCGGAGGCTTCTCCGACGGCACTTGCGGCGGCGGTGGCTTCCGCGGCGGCACCTGCGGCGGCGGCGCCTTCGATGTCGGCGACTGCTGCGGGGGTGCCTTGGGCGGCGTGGCATGATGGGTCGTTGCCTTCGGCTGGGGCACCGACTGAGGCGGCGGCTTATATTGCGGGGCTCTGCCAGTGGCCTGCGGCGGCGGCACATCCCGAGGCGGAGGCTTGCAAGGCGGGGCAGCACCTGGGGCCTGCGGCTTCGGTGCCCGACCCTCGCCAGCGGTGGCTGGCGGCGGAGCTGTGCCAGGGGCCTGCGGCTTTGGTGCCTGGTCCTCGCCATAGGCGGCGCGCGGCGGAGGCGCGCCGGGGGCCTGCGGCTTCGGCGCACGACCCTCGCCATAAGCGGCACGCGGCGAGGGCGCGCCGGGGGCCCGAGGCTTCGGTGCGCGATCCTCGCCACAGGCGGCGCGCGACGGAGATGCGCCGGGGGCCTGAGGCTATGGCGTGCGACCCTCGCCCTCGGGGCGCGGCGGAGGCGCGCCGGGGGCCCGAGGCTTTGGCGGCGCCTTCCGCGGCGGCATGTCCCGAGGCGGAGCCTTGGGCGGCGGCGGCGGCGGCCCGCTCGCTGCCGTTCCCGTCGAAGACTGCCCCTGGCCTTCTGTCCTCGCGCGACCCCAGCGGTTCGAGGCATTGCCTTCCCCAGGCGGTACATGGCACGCTGCCGCGGGGGCCGCCTTTTGACTTATCCCTGACCGCGCACGAGCCGCTAGGGCGTCCTGTCCCACCTGCTCTCGGAGGTTGAATGTCGCCATCGGCACCTTGTAGAGCGGACTAGGGTCGAATTCGCAGTCAGGCAGCCCCTGCAGGGCACGCTGCCCCCGATCCGGGGACACGTAATCCGAACGCATTAGCCATTCGTAATGCACGAGGCTGTCTGCCAATTCAACTTCGCATCTCATCCTGCACGACGCCCTGCGGCCCTCCATTGTGACGAAGGGCCAAGGGTCACCATCCCACGCAGGGCGGTGCAGAGGGTGCCGAACACCATCGTAACTCGGGCGGTCGCCCACGTGCTTCTCCACGTCGCCATAGCTGACCCCCACGCAAGTTCTCATGCGGTCGACACCTTGTAGGAGCATTATTTTCCCAAGAACGCTCTCTCCGAGAGCTTCGTTCTCCCTCGTGGGGTAGCGGACACGCGCGGCAGGTCCCAGCTGAGCCCGATCAGGGTCCGCTGTTACTCCAGTCCACTTAACATGGTCGGGGAGCGCGGCATGAAGAGAATAGAACCTGTCCGCGACGTGCCTGCGTGGCCCCTTGGGCCGGCACTGGTCACCACGATCCGAGATCGGATCCATGAACCACCCGAAGGGCTGCCGAGGGGCATCGGTCTCCAGCACTTCATACAGCTGATCGGTAGGGTCTTGGAACCACGCACAAAGCAGGGCATCGTTTTGCTCTTGAGTGAGGAATGGCCGAGTCATGCGATACTCCATGGGAGCTTGCGCGTCCACACAGGGCCCCGTAACGACTGCACTCAAATTGTGGATCCTCCGATGCCCGCCCAATTCATCAGGAACCTGCCAGAGAGATACGGTGTCTCGGATGACTGGAAGATGTACGCCCTGAACGAAGGGCTCCAGTCCCCCAACCCAAGGCACTTTCCCCGAGCTGACGAAGTTCCAGATGGCGTTGTACATGTCTGGCTGGATAGGGACCACGGGTCGAAAGGTCGGTTTCTTGAATATCTTGGGGAGCAGCCCGACCTGGTCAAGCCCTTTCCCGGGCATCTTTTCCAGTCTGTCCGTGCGGCAGGCAAGGTATACGTCACGGAATCCCCTCGACGGGTCGACTCGCCCCACTGGATCGACCCCGAGTACATGGTACAAGTTCGGGGTCTTGCTCCACGTTTGCAAGTGCGGGGTGAATTGACCCCCGCCCAGGTTCGGCGCAAGTGTTATGATGCCACCGTCTTGATTGCTTTCGTCGGCCCCTTGGGTCTTCGTGAAGCAGTGCATCTTGGCGCTGTGCCAATCGCCATGTGGCATGGTGAATTGGCCCGGGCGGCACGTGTTGATCGAGCTCGGACACCCCGAGCGATAGCGACGCTCGAGGCGCTCATCGCCCAGGACATTCTTGGCTAGATGCACGAGGCTCGCTGCTTCCTTCACAAGATTATTGAGCTTGTCTTCGTCAGACATGTCCCGTGAGCGCAGTATTTTCATAACTGGCTCATATCCAAACGCGCTCGGGCAATCTTGCCCGCTCTGGAACATCTTGCCCCAGAAACTGCGCAGACCACCATGGGCGATGCAAGACATGGTCCTAACAGTGTCTCTTATGAAGAGACGCTCCGCTGCCGATGGGTGCGGGCGCTGCTGGGGCGCCGGTGCGGAAGCTGCGAGGCGCCGGCTAGCTGCGGCGGCGCGCGCAAGGCGGAATGGCCGGCGATTCAGCCGCGTCGGGCTGCTGCGCGGGGGCACCCACCGGTTTGAGCCGAAAGGGCGGCGGTAGTGCACACATGCGCATACATAACAGCAGGAGCAGCGTTCAAAGAAGCACGGTACACAATACACTCATACGCTCTGTCCTCAAGTGCCTTCAACGCCAAAAGATGGACACGTCTTGCGAACTCATCCGTGTACTCTTCCGCCTGCTTGCAATCCTTACCCCTTGCCTCAAAATGCTTGTGGCTACCGTCACATATGCGCACAAGTCCCTCGGCAATCTCACTTGACGACGAAGCAATACTCCATGGCTTCTTCATATGTTGCCCCTTTTTGTTCTTTAAACCATACGCGCAGCCACGGAGCTGCATCTTCGTCATATTATTCTTGTTCAAAAACCCTTAACTTGTGAATCGTGCCAGCATCGGCACGGGGTCGGCCACTCGAGGCATGTTTGGCCGTTTCCCCTGTTTACCTCCTGAGCCAAATCACGAGCTGCCCATAACAACTTCCGAAAAAGCGTAATGTGACCCCATCAATGTCTTAGGGGCTTTCTCACTGCCGGAGCGGTCATACATGGCTTCATTTACGCACTGCCACGGGGATCCGCCCGTACATCATCGAGATCCACGGTGTTATTCGTCTGTCCGTGGCAGTACCTTGCTTCTGCATTTCTTGCTCAAATTCCTCAATTTTGGCCACGGCAAACGTTTTGCCTTCCTTGGTGGTCATGTCTTCTTTTCTGTCAAACGCACCACCTTGCAATTTTTGTCGAGAATGTTATCTTTATTCCCTAGCCAACTGTTAGGCCCGAAGCAAAATTCAATGAAAAGGCGTCGCCGGGATCTTTCACTGGAACCTACCGCGGCATCAGGGTCTGCATCGGTAGCATGGCTCCCGCGCGCATTCCCCTGTTCATCAGTCACCTCCGCTGGTGTTCCCGCTCGGTTATGAACCCCGGGGTTAGCGGGTGCCTCAGCAGAGGGTTTGCCCTTGTTTTGTCGTTTGGGCATTTACTTGGCTTTCTTGCTGGGAATCTCGCCGCCGGTCCGAAGTTTGGACTCTACGCCGAGCTTCGGCTTGAGAATCCCCCCGGGTTTCAGGGGAAGTCCCGTTTCGCCTTCAAACAGTGAATCCAAATACCTCTGATGGGACGGGGCTGCCCAGAAAGTCGGGGCCGCGACCTGCACGAGATACAGCACCTGTGTCCATGACGGAGTCTGCTCGGCTCGCTTCGCGCCGATGTCAGCGGCCAGATCGCGCGTGGGACAGTAGACCAGGTTCACTGTGCCCCTGGCAAACTGTTCCGCGACAGCGTCAATGCGGTGAGCACGCGGCAGGTGCAGTAACTTCTGAGATCCGCCCGCCTTACAAACCTTCACGACGGCTTGGGTGTCTTCCATGAACTCCGCCCTCGGCGCGCGGCCGAGTAGCATCTCCCACAAGTGAAGGGCCGGCAGGAGCTCTCTTCGGAGCGCTTCGTCTGCTGACACAATGTCCGCCTCTAGCGCGCTATGAGACACTGCTGCTGGTCTGCGGGAACTGCAGCTCTGAAGCGCTCGTGTTCTCTCCCCACAGGAACTGCGCGTTCGCACTGGTACTGCGGCGCGCGCGGATGTCACTTGCCAAATCGGCGTCCGCGAATTGACGAAGCCAAACATCTTCGCGGCGGTCTCTCACCAACGATACCAGGCGGTGGTGAGTCGTGGCTTTCAAATAGCAGATAATTGGGAACAGATATATGTCCTGTTGTTCCGTCCATTCGGCGACGCACGCAGCTGTTTCGCAGACAGCGTTGAGCAGATCAGGGCGAGCCATTCGTGCGCCGTATAGAATTTGCATCAGAACTTTCGCTGCGATCGGCTGCAAGATTCCTGACGGTGCAGGAGGCTCAGGATCAGGGGCAGGTGGCCCATTCATGGGAGGACCACCCACGTGGATCTCAGCGTCTGGAGGTCCTACTACGGCATCGATACGTAAGCATTCGGCCAGGGCCTCTTCGGCAGGGGCTAAGATCTCGCCCCGCGGGCCACCCTGGCCGCCCTCGAAGGATGTCAACTCAGGGCCAACGGGCGTGCCCGAAAGTGGATAGGTTTCCTGGTCAGTCTCCGTGAGTTCTGCGCACAAGGAAATGCAGGACTTGAAGACTTCTACCATATCGTATTCCATGATGATGCGCACTTTCTTCTTGGGTCCTAGTTTGCATTCAGACGTCAGAATCAGAATAGGCGGCGGCGGCGGCGCAGGGGCCGCGCATCGCTCTAGCCAAGTCCAGTCCTGGTCTGTGGGGCTCTGGGGCGTGAAGATGGTGG